ATTAGCTGGTGAACCAATGTTACCGAGATTCGACATTACATCACATTCTAGAGATTTTGAATCGGTCAATGTACTTGCTGAAAAAACAAATGAAGAGTTGAGTGATCAAAAATTTGTAGGATGTCACAACAAAGTGGACTTGGAGCAGCTTGGTCGAAGCGTGAAAGATACGAAAAGTTCTAGTAACAAGAAGAGAGGAAGAGGAAAAGACAAAAGTGAAAAGGTTGACGGAAAGAGAAGGTATTATGGAACTAGCTAATAAGCTGGCACGACTCTAAAATATTCGCGAACACGTTTATTAGCAAAATTTTTGTTCATCACAAAATATTTTCTCAGGTAGAACTTTTTCGATAGTATGTTCTTTTTTGGAGAAACAAAAAAGCAATAATATATTATATACTGTATATATATATTGCGTAAAAAAATTTACATGTAATTCGGAGTGTTTTTTTCTTCATTATGTCTTTAAAGCATTACAAAGGATTTATAATGAATATCTTCATTATTGCATAAAAATGGTTGGGAAATGGGAACCACAATTTGACATTTCGCTTTCTATTATTATCGTCGATAAAACTTGATGATCAAAAGTGCATTTGAATAAAGTAATAAGATAACAAATGTTTCTGCATTTTCAATAATTAAATGACGAGTCATAAAATTATTTTGTTCATATCGTATCGCTAAAAAATTTCAACTCCTTTCTCGTAAGGTGAGTAAATGCAATGTTTTCTTACAAATTTAATTGAAAAAACTAATATTCCCAAGACACCTAAATATTTATTATACAATTATTACAAAAATACAACCGTTCAGATGCTTTATAGTTGAATCTTTCAGACTTTGTTTTACACTTCAATTTTGTTCTAAAGTTATCCTTTTTGTTTTCTCGAGTTAAAAATAAATAATGTTATTATTACATTAAAATATGCATTATTCAGAAAATCTTCCTGTGTTGTCCTCATAAAACACCATAACCTATAACCACCTGACCGTTATCCGTAGCGTTTAGGGCATTTTCTCTTATACTTTGTATTTCCTCTGGGCTCAGTTGGAGTATTGTTGATATCACAGGAACCAATGGCTAATGAGCACG